ATGAGGCAAAGGTTGGCATAGTCGAATTAGGAAAAAAATGGGAGGCAGGTTCGTGAGTAGAGAAACTTGCGTGAAAGGTTTGTGAGTAGAGAAACTGGTGTGAATTGAAATTCATTGGTTCCCGCCTGTGATTGTAGGTACCTCGATGCAGCAACGGATGAAGGTTTTAATGAGAACTAAACAGACAGTCTTCCAAAAGAAATGGAAGACCTATCATGATCTCATTGTAAAGTACAATACTTCCTATCCGGAAGAGACACCAATAAGAAACTATACACATGAGGAAGTTAAATCTTTATCACTGGAAGACATCTTCTGGAACTTTGGACACCTAACACATCCAAATGAGAATTGGGCTGTGGATGAGGATACACAGAGGGGTATCCAGGCTTATCTATTATATTGCCGCTGCGAAGAAGAATTCAGGCGGATTGCTGATGAGGTACGGCAGATGTTCATGTGGTCTCTGGCAACAGATGCCAAGATTATAAATGTACTAGGCCTTAGCCAGTCAGGTAAGCACTTTCTGATTCATATAATTGTATTTTGTCATTTCAGCCAGGCTCAATTCCATATGTTATATTCTTTAGGATGGGATCCAACCGCCAATACGCTTCCCATACAGTTGGTGACAGGCAGTCATGCTTCTCACATTGTTACAAAGACAACTTGGGAAGAGTGCACCAAAACTGTGGAGTCCATATATCATGGACTATTTCTAGATCATGCACGTGTGATCTTTGCATGGGACACTCATCTAGTTTCTCTTCTGCACGACACTCGCCAATATTCAGAAGCAACGATTGCTGAAGATAATGTTTTGGAGGAACGGTGGAGGGATATGCTACAGAGCAAGCTCGAATTATGATATTTTACTCTTTCTTTCCATGGAACATTTAATGCAATTGATATAACACAATCAGAAATGTTCACAAGATAATATATGTTGTGAACTGTCCACAAGATGATATAATGCTTCACAAGATTATACATTTTGTGATGTTTCCACAAGATTATACATCTTGTGAATTTTTTACAAGAGTATACATCTTGTGAATTTTTCACAAGATTTACAACTTGTGAACTTTTCACAAGATTATACAGCTTGTGAATTTTTTACAAGAGTATACATCTTGTGAATTTTTCACAAGATTTACAACTTGTGAACTTTTCACAAGATGATACATCTTGTGAATTTCTCACAAGATTATACATTTTGTGAATTTTTCACAAGATTATACGCTGTGTGAAATGTTCACAAAAATGTAACTTTTGCACAACCAATATTAACTTGCACGCTTTGCTTCAGAAGTCGACATGAAGGTACCCAAAGATCCTTTTCCTTCAGATCTTGTGTGGACTTTCATGTCTGGAATAAATACTATGTTATTTCGATGAGGAAAGTCCATGGAGTGTGATATTTTCACAACATAAGTGAGACATCCACTGTGCTGGTGGCACGTGAGAATGTTATATTGAGAATGGCAGATGAGCCCAGATGAGAATTCCCCTTGAGAATTATGAGATGGCGGATGTGTAGCAAGTCAATTTTGTGCTGATGAGGGTCAGATGAGGCCAGATGAGATCACCCCCAAATCTTTTCCTGGATACAACAATCAAATTCCATATTCATTACATATGTAGATCAGTGTGTACAGTGGTTGAGCAACGAGTCAAGCTGTAATGTATGTACTGTACAGAGTAGTGTGGTGAATGTGATGTACAGATGAATCTGCCTGATGAGTAGCCAGATCAATCTGCTACGGCTTTAGTGATGGTTGTGTAGCCAGATGAATCTTAAGACTTTACAATAGTCAGGTTCAGATTCATACAGATGAATCTGAGACTTGGCCAGATTTGGCCAGATGAGTCAAATTTCGATTTTTGGGCTGCCTAACACCTTCAGAGGCACTTTAGGGATGTGAGGTGAGTTCATCAGCTCTAGAGACATTCTAATGCATGTTA